TACACTTAACTCTCTGACGAGTTTCATTCCCCTTCCACGAAACAACATAATACAGTTATATTAGAAGGCCTGATGAGGGGACTTTTGTTTTCGGTTTTGGTTTTATGCCCATGAGAGATATATGATTTGCCTCAAGTCCGGTTTATAATCACACATATTTGAGAAATGATTCCAAATAATTTTCACAGCAAACTGTGCTCTTACCTGCGCTCCGTGCTTATGGCTGCGACTGAAAAATGATCTTGCTTGCGCTGCCTCTGAGGGCTCTTCCTGCCACCCGTTGGCTGCCGGGAATTTGGAGGATTCGTTTTAAAGACAAAGCTCAGACCGAGGGGCACAGTGCAGGGTTTCTATGATGTGAAAAGTGAAACCTAAGATGAACTTCAGTTAGATCGATGTGTTGTATTTGTTTTGGTGTTATTCAGTTTTCATTTATTTGAGAATTGTGTGTTGTCATCTAATGTTGATTAGAATACGTAAGTCTTCAAATATCTTAACAATTGAATGAAACAATGCGTTTCATACTGTATATACAAAAGTACCCGAGTCCATAGAGAACCTACACTGTATAAATTAGCACCGTATAGACTGGAACTTTCTCGTTACCTACAACAAATCTTTGCCAGTGCTTTTAACCAACTTTTTATATCGTCCGTTTAAGTCAAAATCCAAATTTCTCACAGGGGAAAGATACTGTACTGTACGTACTTCGCAGCACTTGTAAAGGCTGACAGAGATATCCCGAAGAGATCTCATTTTAAATGCTTGGTACTGTAATTTGATCTGTGGGTCACGAGTGCCTATAATCATGAGCTATTACACTTAAATATTTCCTAAGAGGTATTTCTAGAAGAGGTTTCAAATTTTCTACCCAGTCTTACATAAGGACAAAAAGAGATCTACCCTAAAATATAGATTACGACATTAAAGGTTTAACAGTACACAATCACTATTAAACGTTTTGTGCAGAGAACTGTAGAATATAGAAATTTACCAAAGTATTTTTTTATTTTCATTTTATGTTAGATTCACCTATTTATTTCATATTTTAATAGGGGTATGCTAGTCTTTTTGCAAATGTTACAAAGTCTTCAGATTGAACAACATTTTTTTGTAATTAAAGAAATCTTCTCAATAATTCTATTATTTTCTTGGAGGCAATGAAACAAAGTTCAGTTTCCATTCTGCCTGACAAAACTTTATCTCAGTAAATGGCATATCTACTGTATCTTCCACACATATTGATTTTGGTAAATAGAACACTTACATTACTGAGAAATGTACTAACAACCAATCTAGAGCTACAAAAGATGGCTTTCATTCTAGTAAAACAATGTCTACATCTGTTCAAAGGTGCTAAGTGTAGCTTTAAAATGAGAATTTAAATGTTGAGTGGGTTGAATTGGCAAGATTGTCTGACAGATGTTTTGCTTTAAGGATGATACAAATGGACCTCATTCAGATTTACATATTATGTGTTTTATGGTATGATGATGCAAATATGTATTTCTGCTCAGTATCTTAATCCAGCAATTTAACTGGCATTTTAGTCAGCGGTAATGATTGAGTATTCTTAACTGATTACAGTTTATACCCACCTCTTAAAAACCTTTAACCTTTTCCTTCTTTTGTTCTGAGCTTGACTGCTGAATGACTTTGCTACTTGGTAACTTCAGTGGTATTTAAAATCACACCTTACCTCTTAATTATTGGTTCAAGTAGGCGTAATTCCCCCTCTCTTAATTCTTCTAAGTAATAACAAAATTACTTTGAAAATAAGTGTTTTGCATAGATAATTATTATTGTTATACTTTAACCATTATTTTGAACTAAACATTAACTACATTAAAATACAAAACCTTCACATTTCATACCACACTATAAATGTTCAAAATAAACAGAATTTTAATACCTATACAGCTTGAGGAATTACTACAGAGTTTATCATATTAAATCTGCAGAATCAAAGATTTTGAAAACATTTTGTATTGGAGTTTTTTATAATAATTCTCTCATATCTTTTAGTTTCTTAAATGTCTCACCAAGTTCACCAAATGAGGTAAACAGTATATGTGGAATTCCTATATTCTTAATTTATTCACAGCACTTATTTTTATTGATTGTTTCTTTACAAGTGATTGGCAAAATACAAAATGAACATGGATGAAATAATAATGACTGATATTACCTTCTATAATCATGCACATACTATTGGGCACTGTGACTAAGGATCTGTGCCTGTGGTTGGGAGGTTGCTAGTTGAAATCCCACAGCCAGCAGAGGAATCCTACTCCGTTGGGCCCCTGAACAAGGCCCTTAACCCCAACTGCTTCAGGGCACTGTATAAATGCCTGTGCTCTGACCCCAAGCATCTCTCTCCCCACCTGTGTATCTCATGGAGAGCAAGCTGGAGTATGGGAAAAGACAAATTCCTAATACAAGAAATTGTTTATGGTCAATAAAGTGATCTTATCTTATTGCATTTAATGTAAATGCTTTAATTCACACTCCTAGTGTTTTTATGAGAGGTGGATTTGAATACAAATTCCAGTTTTACATATATATCTACTAAAGACATACACGTATGGCAAGTAATAAAAAGAGTTCCCGATGCTTAGTATGGAAAAATTACCTAATTTTAGGCTCACATTATTCCTGTTTCTGTTGCTAAAGATATTTAGGGGTCTTGAAAGACAAAACTAATACATTATTATGTGCCTTACTACATTGCTTTAAAGATTCCTGATGAGTGCGGCCAATCTATTTCATTTGACTGCTAGTAACTTTATGTTTCAAGAATTCTTTTCCTTCCTTAAAAGATCTTATGTTGTGGGATTCAACTGCATATCCTGCAAGCTTCATCCAGTAACTCACATTCCCCTGTGTAAAACTGTCTCCTGTTTTCTGTCTGGAATGGACTTAATTTATACTTATATTAACTTATATTAAAGTTATATACTTATTTCATCAGGCCCTGCTGGTCTTGAAAAAGACCTTTAAATTGACTGGTCAATGCTTTTCATGATTTTAAATACCTGTTTTGATGCTCACATGTAATCATCCAATCTCCTTAATCCAGTGGTTCCTAACCCAAGTCCTAAAGGATCACTGTCTTCTGGTTACTAGTTCCAAATGATTTCTTAATCACAGATTAATTGATTTCAGCTTTGTATCTGAGGATTTTTTTTTAATTTTTAGGTAGAATAGGGTTTATTATTAGTCTCAGTTAGTCTCATGTATCAATTTTTGAGTTTCAGAACTGTCCTCATTCAGGTGTGTGGCCTAAAATGTAACCTACTGGACTTCTGCAGTAAGAAAAATCCTAATCATGGGAATATTTGATACATTGCCATTCCCAAGTGTGTCTGTTGATTGTAAATTGATCATCTAATCAAGAGCTGTGTAGTCAGACAAAGGGATAAGTAAGTTGAGAGGAAAATATATAAAGTGCTTTGATTGCTGTGGGAAATCCTGCAAGTATAGAGTTTTGAAACCCGGGACTAAACAAGCCAGCAAACTAATTAAAGTAATCAATTATCCCTGGAGATTTAGATAGATGGATACTTTATTAATCCTGTTGGGGTAATTGCAGTGCAAGAGCAGCCTGGTACAGTCAACAAAGCACAGTGTAACAACATTATGCTATAATACACAATACAATACAGTAAGTACAGTCAGTGAGAAGTGCAGTAAAAAGTAAAAAAGGAGTATACAGAATTGTTCACAGTACAGAAGATACAAAACAAACCAGAATGTACAGTACAAAAAAAAAGATGTATTGCACATTATAAATATATTGCACAAATCCCAAGCATATATTGCACAAAAATCAGTTGTAAACAGGAAATCAAATCAAATCAAAGTTTATTTATCAAATGCAGAACAATACAGCATGCAGTAGTAGTTGCTGTAAACAGATAATTCATGTTTAGTCCAAAAACAAATCAATGTTGCCCCTGCCTAGACACACAGTGGACAAGCTGTAGAGTATTTTGGCAAGAGTGGCCTCCCTGTCGCACAGTGGTTGGATCAGCTTATCACTGAACGAGCTTTTCATTCTCACAAGCATGTCATAGAGGGGATGGGAGATGTTGTCCATGACGGCCATTCATTTGGACACCATTCTCCTCTCAGCTAATACCTCCAAGGGGTCCAGATCAGACCCAATGACAGAGCTTGCTCCTTTGATGCATCCCTCTGTTCTAATCCCAGAGCCCCAGCACACCACTGCATAGAAAATGTCACTCGCTACAACCAACTGATAGAACATATAAAGCTCCTTACTACACACAGTGTAGATGGCCTCTGTGTTCTTATTCCATTCCAGTCTATCAAGGATGTGAACACCCAGGTACTTATATGAGTCAACTATCTCCATGCCACTCCCATGGATGCAGACAGGAGTAGGTTGGACCTTCTTCCTCTTGAAGTCTATCACCAACTCCTTCCTCTTTGCCACGTTCAGTTGCAGGTGGTTCTCCCCACACCACTCCACAAAGCTGTTAATCAGTCCTCCATGCTCTTCCTCCTGCCCACCCTCAATACATCCCACAATTGCAGAGTCGTCTGAGAACTGCTGCAGGTGGCACGACTTCGAGTTGTACTTAAAGTCCGAGGTATAGGGGTCACCTAGGGTAAAGATCTCTGTAGAAATATGACATTCCCTTCATTCAAAACTTTTAACAATATAGTGTATTCAATATTTGTTTACGCTTTGTATTGTTTTGTATTGCTTTCCCATACTGTCTGGTTATGTCATATATGACCTACAGTATAGCACTAGTTACTTGCTCAAATAAATTAGGAACGATCTGCCTCTTTAACAATATGGAACTTTAGTCTTAACAAGTTAAATCATATTTTAAAATATTACTTTTAATGATTTTTTTTACATGTACACCTTCCTAGACATAGTCAATGACAATACATTGTTTTACTGTCTTTTTAAGAATCTCCTTCGGAAGGAAACGCACCACAGTTTCCCATGATCCTTAGCTGCTTACAGTGGTAGGACCTGCAAGACCAAGCTGTCAAACTAAAGCAATTGCCATTATTATTGTTACTATTATAAACATAGCAGCGGTTCCTTGTTGCACATAAAAACATAAATTACATTGCAACTAACGATTTGCATTAAAAGTCCCAAGTCACAATGAACCGAAGGATAATGAGGTAAGAAAATAATCACATCTTACAAGCAACATA